AAGTGTGTCTTCCTAAGGAAGTTGTAGGGTTGGGAATAAGAAAATTGAAGAAATTCAATTCTGCCCTCCTGTGTAAATGGCTTTGGAGATTTGCAAATGAAAGAAATGCTTGGTGGAGAAAGCTGATTGTGGACAAATATGGAGTAGATTGGGGTGATTGGAGATCCAATTCTCCTATTTTAAGAGGGATAAGCTCCATTTGGACAGGTATAATGAAGAACTCTAATTTATTTGAGGAAGGAATCAGTTACAACTTGGGAAATGGGGAAAGAATTAAATTTTGGAAAGACTCTTGGTGTTCTGAAGTGTGTCTGAAAGATGCATTTCCTCTCTTGTATCAAATTTCTGTAAATCAGGATTCCTCGGTGGCTGATAATTTCAATGTGGATGGTAACTCTTTCAGTTGGAACCTAACTTGTAAGAGGCATCTCTTTGACTGGGAAATTGAGGAGTATGCAAATCTGTTGGGCCTGCTCCATAACCAGAGAATTGACCCAAACATGGAGGATGCTTGGAGATAAATGGGAAGCTGATGGCAGGTTCTCTGTAAAGTCTATGTTCAGTAAGTTGATAAGTTCAGGTCAGGGAAACTTTCCGGCTAGGCAGATTTGGAACTCAATCAGTCCTTCTAAAGTGAAGTTTTTGCTCTGGACAATGCCTTTAAATAAATGTCTATCCAAAGTTAATCTAGTGAAACGTGGCATACAAATTCCGGACATGTCATGTGGCTTGTGTGGTGGGGCAATAGAAACTACTGAACATGTGGCCTTACATTGCCCAGTCTCGAATTATATTTGGAGGCATTTTCCACAAGCTTTGGAAATCAGCTGGGTAATGCCAAATTCTGTGAAGGATCTGCTGTTGTGTTGGCAGATTGAGGGTCTCAGCAAGAAAGGTACATTGGTTTGGAAGACTATCCCGGCTGCTGTGCTTTGGACTATCTGGATTGAAAGAAATAACAGAATTTTTCAGTGAAAGCTAAATCTCCAGAGGAAATGGTGCAGAAAGCTGTGGGTAAACTTCTGTCCTGGGTGTTGGCAACAGAGGTGTTTAAAAATCAGAATTCGAGTATGTTGTTTAGATCTCAGAACTGGATGTATTTGTGATTTGTGGTGGCTCTAGGCAGCCTCTAATGGCCTAGGCTCCTTTGTACTGGTTCTTGATTTAATAAAATACCTTACCTTTTCCGAAAAAAAAAAAAAGACATCGGCCAGCTGCTTCCCAAAAGACATGTAAGAAATACATAGGTCTCCAGATACAAGTTTTTCTCTAATAAAATGCCTCTTGGTCTCAATATGTTTGGTCCTATTGTGCTAAACTGGATTATTGGCAATAGTGATAGCTGCTTAATTGTCACAATAAAGCTTCAGGGGACCAAAAATCCCCATTCCTAATTCCTTCAGCAAGATATGAATCCATAAGAAGTCAACCACACCATGGCACATGGCTTATATTCTGCTTCAGCACTGGATCTGCAACAACTATTTGCTTTTTTCTTCTCTATGTAACCAAATTTCCCCCAAAAAATGTAAAATACCTAGTTGCAGATCTCCAGTCCATAGACCATGCAAAAGCATCAGAGTATGCCTCAACTTCTAGTCTACCATGTTTCTTAAACAATTAACCCTTTCCTAGGCAGTTCTTTAGGTATCTAAGAACTTTTTTCAACAACCTTCATGTCTAAGACTCTGGGAGCATGCATAAACTAACTTACAATATGCACAGCATATGCAATATCTAGTCTGGTGAGAGAAAGATAAAGAAGCTTGCCCACTAGTCATCGATATCTCTCCTTATCGTTATATAGCTCATCATCCCCCTCCTGTAACACATGGTTCTGCTCAATAGGAGCATCAGTGGGTCGATTCCCAAGTTTTGCATTTTCTTTCAACAAATCCAAGGCATACTTTCTTTGACATATTTAAATTCCCTCACTTGATCTTGCCACTTCAATTCTAAGAAGGATTTCAGCCTTTGAATCTCCTCTACATCATTCCCAGTCACCACCATGCCATCAACATATACAATTAAAGCAGTAAGACTTTCATTTTTCCTCTTGTAGAATAAATTGTGATCAGCATTACTTTGTTTATATCTGACACTCTTCATCGCATTGCATAGTCTCTCAAACCAAGCTCTAGGAGACTGTTTTAGACCATACGAAGCCCTCTTCAATAGGCATATTTTTCCCTTTATGTCATCTCCTGGAGGAGGGTCCATGTAGTAAATGTCTTCCTAAAGATCTCCATTCAGAAATGTATTATTGACATCAAACACCAGCAGAACTCTCAACCTAAATCCAAATGTTGCTTTGACACCAAGCTGTTGAATGAAAAGCCGGGAAGAAGAAGAAGAAGGAAAGGAGAAGAAAAGAAGAGAAGAAGAGAAGAGTTACAAATGGTGTTTTTGTTACTGTTCATACCAGAAACATTGAATTTATATTTGAGAGGAAAAGTACAAAGATTTCCCTTGGGCACCCAAATACAAAAGAAAGAAAAAACCCCAAGATACCCTTACAACAAATTGCACATTCTCAACCATTACTAATAGTAAATAGCATTATTAATAACTAATTTTAATACTAAGAGTAAATGACAAGAACAGATGCTTTTGTCCTTTTTTGTATAATGCATACAAATTATGCAAGTTATCCAAATCACATGTATAAGAATATCTCTATTAAAACAAATATGTGTGATACATCATGAAGAACTCAATCAGGAAGTTCCATAATATTCAAACCTTGTTGCGGTTCAACATTATAGATTTGTCCATTGCCTTCATAGCATACAATTCTCCAGTGCCAATTAGTTCCACTAAATGAACACTGAAACAACACAGAAATCCACCAAACAATGAGACAGCCAAGTATAAACCTCCAACAAATTTCAAAAGCAATAATGCTAAATAAGTTTATATAATTTCCAGTATGTTTCCTAGAAAACCATACGGGTACATGTGACAAATCGTTTATCCAAATGTTAGTGATGCATTTTCAAGTATTTATAAATGACTCAATGATAATCAACAAAACACATGTGAAATGTTTTTGTTCTACCTTGCCTTCAGGCTTTTGCAACTTAATTTTCCAATCATAATATTACCCACCTAGAATTATTAGTCATTAGTTAGGAAAAACAAATCACAAAAAGAATTAATACTCTTCTAAACCAACTTCCTACTACACATGAAAAGAGTCCAAGGTTAGCTAACTTAATGTCTGACAACTTGTTAGGAGTCAGGTTACTCAGGACTTAATTGTATCGGGGATTGCCCTAGTGTTTGGGTTGCCTCTTGAAGCTTTGAGACCTCTCCTATCAACTGGAGTGGGTGCTACACTTGGCATTTGACCCATCCCCGTGGGGCCCCGCCCTGCCCCGACTGGGGTGGGTTTTTTTACCATTGATTGGGATTTGAGGCGGGTTCAGGGAAACCTGAAACTCTAGAGATTGGGGATGGGGTGGGGGTGGTATTTGCCCACCCCACCCTGACCTCGGCCCCAAACCCGCCCTGACTATATTATATAACATAATATACATATGATATATAAATGTCAATAACTGTTAATATATGTTATATTATATTAAATTACATAAAATAGTTCTAGGTAGGTTTCAAAAAAATAAAAAATTAAATCTGTAAGTATACAAGTATGAATGACCAAGGCAAAGCTTTGCAAATTCGGGGATCCCCGTTCCCCACGGGGACGGGGATGGGGTTAAGATTTCTAGCTCCGCCAGGGTTCAAGGCAGGGATGGGGTGGGGCATTTGAGTTTGGGGTCAAGATGGGGTAGGAAAAACTCGGCCCCACCCCACCCCATTGCCATTCCTAGTGGATGCTTCTATTATGCTTTCTCCATCTCTCCTCTAATTAAGTTCTTTACTAATAAAAATAGATTTAAGAGAGTATTTGAAAGCAAATCTCAGAAATTTAAATTTATTGAGGTGGATTTCTCTCCAGTATTATAGGCTGAGTTAATTGGTAGATCTAAGCTGCTTATGTAAAAACCTACTTCTCATTTTGGGTTTGTATTTTTAATTGCCATAAAATAAGCAATTAAAAAACATCCTAAACCTAGGATGTTAAGGTTGTGTTTGTATAACTTATCCATGGCTTTATCTCCATATGGATGTGAGTTTTGCATCTTATGGATAAAATTAGCTTGAATAGGTAATAATGGTGGGTAAAATAAGTTCTTTAATAAAGTAGGGGATAATCCATCCATTTAAAATTGTAGAAGTTATAAGGGTGGTTCAAGTGGTTTAAAATCATTTACAAGGGTTTGATGGTCATAAAAAAAATTATTTTGCATTGTCTTTAGAGGGCATTATAAATATTTCAGATTTTATTAAATTTTGAAGCCACGCATGCCCTTGCATCTTTGAAACACAAGGATGGATAAGGAGTTCCGATAGGCGGAGAAAAATGAGATCTCAACCCCTTAAAACTTATCCACAAAAACACTTTTTAGCCACCTAAATGGATAAGGAATTGTATTTTACCAAATAATAATCACCCACCTTTTCTCCTTATTCTATCTCAAAAAGGATAAAAGGCCTTATCCTCCAAATGACTTCATTTCTAACCCTATCCTTTCTAGTTTTTCCACCCATCCATCTCAGCATATGCATTTCTGTGCCACACTCATTTTTTGGACACGTTATTTCTTGACTGCCCAACACTCTGCTCCATACAACATAGCTGGCCTTACAACTGTTTTATAGAATTCTCCTTTTAATCTAATTGGTATCTGCCTATTACATAAGATTCTGAATGCAACCCTCCACTTGTCCATCCTGCTCTAATTTCATGGGGGGGTCATTCTCAATCTCTCCCTTGTTATGAATTACCAAGCCAAGGTACCAGAAAAAGTCACCTTAAGTTATCTCTTGGTTTCCAGTCCTAAGTGTAACTTTTTTTTATCAATAACAAAAGACTTAATTAATTAGAAATAAGGATACAAAGGGAGGAGATAACCACTCTCATCTCCCCCAAACAAGAAAAAACAGAGCAGAAAAATTACAGTTGATCCCAAAACATAGTACCCCTATTTACCCCTTGTTTTGCTAACCCATCAGCAAAGGAGTTTGCACATCTCGTAACCCAATTTACTTTAACTTCCATGTCTTTTTTCAGCCACTTGATTCTTTTTCTTTTCATTGCTGTCACCCACAAACCATTTTTGTCTCCCTCCAGCCATTCCACCCTAAGCATAACTTGATTTGCACTCCTATTATATTAAATTAACATATCATTTTTTTATCAGAAACACAAAAGATTTCATTAAATGATTAAAGAGAAAAGGGATACAACAAGAGGTTGTGAATGCCACTAAAAAAATAAAAAATTACAAACACACCCCGCCACCCTATTACAATTGAGCCCAATACATTTGTTGATTGTGAACACCTTGTCTAAACAAACCATCTGCCAGACAACTAGTCAATCTTCTATTTATCAAAAAAAAAAAGATAATTAGTTGATCTTCTTACCCGTCTTATTTGAATGTTCATATCTTTTGAGAACCACTTAAATCATCTAATTCCATTTCTAAAATTGCCACACCACCCCTTACTTTTACTCAGCCACCCCACTACTATCTCCGAAACCCCTTCAATGATCAGCTTTACAATTCGCACTTCCTTAGCTTTTTGCACCCAGAAAACTGCTTCCAAAAGTACGGTCCTTATTGAATCACCTTCTTCAATTGGACCCGAAAACAAAGCACAATATCTCCACCCTCATCCCTTATCACTCCTCNCCAAATTCTTTAAGGTCCAGGATTAACCAGGCTGCTGCCATCAAAATTTAATTTCGTCCACCCACCACTTGGGATGACCAAACCACAAGGACTTTTTGTTTCATAGAAGAAGATTCAGCTTTTTTTTATCAATAACAGAATAATTCATTAAATAGAGAAAAGGATACAAATGGAGGAAGAATCAGCTATTGCCCCCCAATTCCTGAAAAACTCCTCAACTGTAAATTCTGAGAAGAGTTTCAGAGTCTTCACAAGTGCAAACCTTAATGTTATAGACTCAATTAGTGTCTCCTTTCTTCTCTCCATCTCCCAAATATTCTAAAATCTCTTTCTTCCCAAGCTGTCCAGACCACCACCACCTTGTACATCTTCAGAGAATTCTGCCCTTTCTTTGTGTGCTCCCCAAAACAGATCATATATTATGCTCCTACTTATTTTAAAATCTCTTGTTTATAAGCTATTTGTCCATGAACCTTTGCATTTAATCCCTCATTAGTTTAATCAATCATCAGCTAACAACAATCAACAATCCTAAGCAAGTTTCTAGCTGGAAAACTATTTGCAGAGAAAATTTCTTTTTCTATCATTAAAAAGGCTTAGATAAAAAGTAAATTGCAGAAGCAATGATTAAGGGTGCACACCATTAATCATTGTTCAAACAACACATACATTAAAAGATAAAAACACACCATTGTTTTGATTTCTTTGGTAATCAACAGTGGCTTCTTTGTTTTTTCACTAGGGATATCCTATTTTATAAAAAAAAAAAAAAAAAATAGGATATACCCTAATCACTCCCCTGAAGAAAATAAGGGAATTAAAGAACCAATTCATTCAATTGTTGGATAATACCACTAGGAAGTCGAGATAAGTTACAAGGAATCAGAGTCATGTCTATACTAACATAGGAAATTGCATTACCTGCCAGTATCACCACAACCCAGGGGCCTTATGGGCTTGAAATGCTTCAGCCCAATCTGTTCACCATGTGAAATAATCTACCAAGACAAAAGGAGATTAAAAATATAATAGCATTAGTGAATGCATATATAATATGCCAAAAAGTACATAACCAACAAAACTTTAAAACTTCAAATGATAAACAAATATCACTTGAACAAAATTCCAGAAGATTGCAGAACGTCACAAAGCATAAATTAAATAATTTAACTATAGATATACAAAGTACTAAACATGAGAATCCACAATACACTGTGTATGAAGTTTAAAAAAAATGCCAAGACAGATCAGAAAACCCAAACTAAGAGTTTCATGGAATCATGAAACAGAAGCAAGATACCGAGGACTCCACCCAAACTTGTCTAAAAACTAAGTTGCATATATACTGTCCAGTCTTAGAAACCACAGGGTAATAAGCCCTAGCTAAGTGAGGATATCCATGATTTGAGTGCTCATAAAGAATAATAGTAAAGATGAAATCAAAAAAGAAATTCCGAAAACAAAGAAAAGTATGAAATTCTAAAGATAGGACATGCAGGTCAGCAGATGCTCAACCATCTCCAGCATGAATTTTATACATCCAAATGGCATCAAATTTCATTAATAGAAGGATCAAGGAACTATGTCTTAGAACCAATAGCCTTATGGGCTCTTTTTGTTTTACACAAAAAAAATATATATAAGAAGGTTAACAAAAGATAAATTAAATGGAATGAAATGAAACAAAAATGAAGAATTATCAGATAAAAAATGCTTGGTTAATAAAAAATATAAAATTATAAAAAAAAAATCCCATTAGTGCGCCTCACTCACCCATTTTGCAACTCATACTCAAATTTCTTTTATTTGAAGAGAGCTTTTAAGGAAAAAAAAAATTACCCATCATTTAAAAGAAATTTCTAACCTGAAATAGAGAAGAGAAAAAATGTTATACTTTAGAGAAAAAAAGAGAGGGGGAAAAAAAGAAAACCACACACTTGAAAATAACTTCAAACAAACTTTTATTCCATTAGTTCATCTCTAATAGATACCCAAAAAATTAAAAAAAAAAAATCAAATCCCATGTGTGAAGTAGATATAATAGATAGAAAGATAGATATAAGTAGGTAAGTAGGTAGGTAGAGACAGAAATAGAGCAAGGGTTCCACCACCAAAACTAAGGAAACCTGTATCAATATTTTGGGGTTTAGCCACTTTTGGCTTTTTATAGTATGTACCCTTCTCCATTGAACCTATTGTCAGTGAAAAAGAGACTTTAAAAGAAAGCTTCAAGCTATTTAACAGGAAGAGCTCAAGCGAGTTTCCCTCAATGACAGGTATGGTCAGAGTCTCTTAGGGAAATACAAAGTTTAGGGTTGAAGCCTTTGGCAACTCAACCCAACCCAAATCCCACATGTCTTCATATTTTCTATAAATATCATATTAATGTGTATGTCTGTATGTACATATGCCTGTATGTAATAATTTAATTTTAAAAGTAAAGATTTTTTTAGTACAACATAAGTATAGTACTCCTAAAGCACCATAACCTTGTCACCCTATATAGCTAAACTTAATTGGCCAATCCCACCATCCCACGTTTAAGTAGTGTTAACATTTTCTCTAAAAGCAAAAGGAAAAAAAATTTGGCTACCTGAGACCAGTCCAAATCCCAACCTGATCCCAACACAAAGTCATCAAGTTGGATTAGGGCTGCTTACAACCCAACATGACTTGCACCCCTGCTCAGCCAACTAAAGTCTCCTTTTTCAGTGCCTCTGCACTAATATCTTCCCCCAGGAATTGAGCATCTGCTTCACTAGCATTAGCAGAGGCAATTGTCAACTATCGTTTGGAGTCAAAACAGTGGACTTCAGGTAGAACAAGGAAAAGTTGAGGGTATCACTAAAGAGGCTGATGAGGGCTCTCAGTGCTGCAGAGTGCAGAGAGGTAAACACAATAGAAAAAAAATATATTGATAATGGCTTCAAAAAAAAAACAATGGAAAAGGTTGAATTTATACCAGACATGAGCTTGGATCATGAAAAAGAGGATGGAAGGGTCTACAGGGCTAACCCAATTGCAAAGGAGGACGACAGGGACTTGGAAAAGACCTGTGAGGCCAGCGAAGATCAGCGGTGGCAGAGAAAGGTTCAGTGGAGATGGCTGTGGTTTCAGATAAAGAGGTTTAGGTGGACTTCTCTTGGGCTGAACAGTTTGCCAACTCTGTTTTCAATAGGGCTGTCAATGGGTTGGTTCTGCCCAATTGCCCAAACCGAACTGAACCAATTTTGTCGGTTCTGGTTCTATGATTTTGTCCCAATTAACAATTGGATCATTCCAGTTCCTGCCTGTCCCAATCCGATTCAGATCCAGAACCAACTGACTATTAACCAGGATGGTTCTGGGTCTACGATTTTGTTCTGGTTAATAATTGCTTCCGAATGGGATCACCCTGTACCAACCAGACCTGTCCCATTGACAGCCCTAGTTTTCAGAGAAATGGAAATAGAAGAGAAGAAAATCTCATGAGGTGGAAGTATCAACAAAGCCATCCAATGAAAGTTGATTTAGGGTTAAGGATGTTATCATGTTAATAGATAAGGAAGAGTTATTTCACTAGGACATAGTGGAGCCTAAGAAAAAATTGGGGCTTTCAAGCAGATATTGTGGGTGGGAATTCAGGTGGAAGAGATCAGTGCTAGTTTGGTTGCTGTTTGTGTTGCAGTTGGGAGTGGTTGGGTCTGAGAAATTTTCTTCTTGTGCTCTTCTTCTGTGTGGATTTCTATTGATGAGTTTAGTGGAGAACATCATATTTTGGTTTGGGGGTGGGACATTTTTATTTCTCTATTCTTGTCTTGTGGATTTTTTTTGTCACTCGAGCCACATTGCTATCTTTCTCTTTTATTCTTTATTTACTTTTTTCAATAAATTTTTATTTAATATCAAACATATTGTCCATTGTCCAGTTAGTTTAATTCAACAGTTCAAACAAATGAAAAATAGATAGTTGAATAAGTGGAGTATATTTCTAGCATCTTAAAATGAGCATGGGAATCATAATTGTGTCCATCTTATCAAAAAAGATCATAATTGTCTCCCCAAAAGGTGAAATATTAGTCTTATTCCACCTCTAACCGAATTCAAGTTCAGTCTCCACCAAAAATTACACGGTTGAAGCGCTTGTTTTCTTTTATTAGCAGATGAAATCCTTGTTTCCAGCATGCAAGACTCAATTTGGATATAATATTTTTGTAGAAATCAACAATTTACTGAAAGATAAACCTACCCTGCATCCACTCAATCATTGAGCAGGAGAAGGTTTTACATTTATTACCCGCCATGCACTTATAAATCAGTAAGGTTGACTTAATATGAAATTAGTTGTTCAGACTTCACATATTCTAAAGACCAGGATTAGTTTAAGAGAAACCTTAAAGAAATGAGCATGACACTTCTGCATGAATAAAGTCCTACAAATATTAACATAGATAATACATATTTGAAAAAGGATCCAAAAATGGATCAACAGGTAAAATCATGAGCAATTACTTCATAAATAAGTACCTTTTGAATTGCTAACCAAGAAGGACTATGCTTTTTGTGAGGCCTTGGGAAGACAGGTTGAGAATGGATTGCCCACAAATCTTCTGGTCTCTAAAAGATTTCAAAAATAGCATAAGCTACATTTCAATATAGGGAATAGAAGATGAAAAAGTAACCAGGTGGTGAATACAGAAAATAAAATAATTGCTTATACTAAGGAAATAAGAAAATGTACAAAAATGAGTAATAGTAGAGGTAAAATGCAAAGCCAAGAAGAATGCTATGAATCCACTGGAAATATTATCCGGAGCATTTCAAAAACCATTAGAAATAAATATTACCACAGCCATCTGTGTGGAAGCCAGAAGATGTGCATGACCCTACCTATCTCTGTCATACATAAAGTTCTGAAAATTTACAGCACATTATGAAGCCATGAATCTAAAGATAAGTTACATTTAAAGTATAAAAAAGCCCACTGCCAAGTTTTCATCACTATGACAGAAGCAAGAAAGAATAGAAGAAAGTCACTATGGCTGGCTTTGGTTCACGGAATTGAGGTGGATTTGGAAGAACTTGCCCCAATTCCAAGTTCAAAATTTTGGCACAGACACCTTACAGTGGATTTGTAAATTCCATTTGAATTTGAGGAGTTAGGTACTAGCCTAAAAATACAAGCCACCAATGTTTAAGGGAGAACACAACACATGTTTTCTCCAGTTCCAACTTCCAAGTCTTTGGAATTGAAACACAGGCCACCAGATCCAGAGATGAAGACCTTCAACATCTTCCACACTTTCATTACCTTCATTATAGGCACCAGATGCAATCTAGAGACTGAACCTTCATCAGACGTCTTCCCCTCCCCCTTAGCTTCAAATTCTATTCCTTTTGCCCAGCTTTTCTTCTTGGAATCTCAATGTGTCACTCTTCTTTGTTTCTGGCAACCTTCACTCTATCTCAAACCTTGAACCCTACAACTAATGAGCATCAAATTCATTCATCAAGTTCTGACCTACTGTGCAGTAACAACTAAAAACCATCCAACCTATTTTCCAATGACTGGCACAAAGATGGACAAACACTCAAACATATTCAAAACTTTCACCTAAAATTTCTGGAATGGACAAGTTAGAATGGTTATCTAACACCAAGAACCATTTATTGTTCTTCCTCTCCTGCAAAATAGAGAACAAACTAGAAACAGATGGAGTTTATGACATATTTGGTATTCTTATTCTAATTCTTGGAAAATCTGTGTCTCATCCAAACACATAGAGTTCTGATTTTGGTAATTCTAATTTTATGAAGAGTAATTATATATCAGAGAGGCCTTATGTGTTTATTCATATTGTAATTCGCTATGGGCAATTCAGTATCACCTTTTGTCTTATTAGTTATACAAATTAATTTCTAAAAGGCTTCTTCGATAGGATCACCAAACACTAGAAAGGGAGCCTGTAAACTCAAAATTATTATGAACTATTCCAAGCAGTGACATATGACATCTTTGATTTCTTTGACCAAATGCATCATGGTTCTAGAAAGGTGTACCTTACCAAGTTGGCATCAGGAAGCTCTCGGACAGCTTCATCAACATTTTCTGCAGTAGCTTTGACCTGTAAAACATAAGCAAATACTCAAGTTATCAACATATGCAAACCACATCATCCAGGTTAAATTCCAATGGTTTTTGTGCAAAATAGTTCAAGGATGAAGAAGAAAAAACAGACAAGAGAATATCCTAAATTATTTCAAACAAGTTCAAATTTCACATCTAGGTCATGCAGGCCAAGAAGAGTTAGACCAGCCCCAGAATGACTTTCATCCACTTGTTCTGGATCACTTGATCAGTATAAAGATCAAGGAGTCTATTAGTGGATTCCAAAATATTGGGCCAATCAGATGGAGCAAATAACCTCTTATGTATAGCTTCCCAAGCTAGTATTGGAAATTAGCAAGCTGCTCAAATCTGGATCAAAGATCAAAATTGTGATACTTGACTGCATATTTTAGAGGGTGCCTATTTTTTATAATAAAAAGTTAAAAAAAGAAAGTTTATTAAATGCTCCATCTGTTTCTCAATAAAATAGAAATAATTTTTTTCAGACTGAAAATTTTTCAGCTATTTAAATGGCAAGGAAAACAATATTTTCATCGTAAAAGTGATTAAAATATAGATCAAATATTTCAGATGCATATGAGATCTCTATTACCACATGATTACAGTCAACCATTTGAACTGAGCAAGGTATGGACTGCACGATATGGAAGCCTTGGGCTAGATCTATGGACTGATCAGGTATCGCATTAACCCTCAATCTATGGACTGAGGCCTGAAAACCCACTCCAATATGCCAAAAAGTGAAGGGTACCCCCCAAGAAATAAAATTGAATATACTAAATAAATCATCAAGGTGAAAGGGCATACCAACTTAGCACTTTGCAGCTCTGTCTTCTCTGACAGACGGTTTCGAAGGGGTTCCACATGATCACTTCCATCTAGTTGCACGCCAATGAAGTATTGAAGTTCACCCTAACAAAGTAATGGACCATTCAGATAATTTCCAATAAGGATTGCAGAAACAGTAAACTGAGACTCTATCTATCTATCTATATATATATATATATATATATATATATATATATATATATATATATATATTACAAGTAGTAAGAAGTGGAAGAGGCTAGAAGAGCTAGGGGTAGACCAAAAAGGACATGGGTAGAAGTAGTAAGAAGTGATTTAAGCACTAATAATTTAACAGTGGATATGGCTTTAAATAGAACAGCTTGGTGAAACAGGATTCATGTAGCCAACCCCATATAGTTGGGATAAGGCATGGATGGTAGAGAGAGAGAGAGAGAGAGAGAGAGAGAAATTGAGGATACCTTCTGGTCACGCATAGGTTGCAAATGGAATAAGTTCCAAAATTTCTTCCCTGCAAATCCAGATTTCATAAAGTCAACCACGTCAAAGATTGAATGTAAAAACTAGTATTCTCAAACTAATGAACCAATTTACTCTCAAGGCAATCAAGCATATTCTCACATATCCAAAAATTATGCATGGAAACATTTTTATTTTAATTCATTTAGAAAATCGGACACAAATCCACAATGACATGATATATAATCTGTTTATATATTTTATAGACTGAAAGCTCCTTGAAATTGTCAACTTACCACTCTTGGTGTAGTTTATTAACTGCACTGTGATTTCTCTCTGCTCTCTGATAGCATCTCTTATTTTTGACACAGTTCCTTGATCAGTTTCAGGTCCTTGAAGAAATCTATACAACCCAATGAAGCTCAGTAGCAAAATATTATATGACAGGAGCAACATATATAAAAGCAAAAATAGAAACAAGGCACAAAATGCAAACAGTTTATTACAATTCCGAAAGGATACCATGATGCCAGATCAGATTGGAGATAATCAGACTGATTTTTTAGGTGTTTTTCAGTCCCAAAAGACCATAGCCATTAAAGTACATAATGAAATATCCTTAATTCAATATGTAGTTGTATATCAATAACTCAATACCCCACACGCAAATATGTGTATTATGTATATCTATATATGGGAGAGAAGAAATGCAAAAATGATCAAGTACTTCTTAAGAACTTTGTAATTAAACATGTATGTGTTGGTATACATGCAATTGCCATCTTATATAATAGTTCAGAATAATATACACAATAAACATGTATATAAGTATATGTATATATAGGTTTCTGTATCACAAATGTGTATGCCTCTTCGTATATCTCTGTAACAATAATTCAATATGTCATTAAATATATATATATATATATATATGTGTGTGTGTGTGTGTGTGTGTGTGTTTGTGTTTGTGAAAGAGAGTGATATGCAAAAATAAATGAATATCCCGTAAGAAATTTGTAATTAAAAGACTTTGTTTGCCCTTCCCACACTCAACCAGCATCTACCTTTCTATATAGACATTTATTGAAAGGAATAAAGAATATAACACCATACCGGCAGTTTCTTCCTAAAATTTCCTCTCGAGTATACTCCGTCAATTCAAGAAAGCTATCAGACGCAAATATCTGTGTGTAAAAATATTGGGGTCAAATCATGAATATGTAGAACCTCTCATGGTTTTTTATCAGTAAATGGTAAGTAATAATATACATAAATTATTTATGGACAGACCAGCATCAGCACCTGAAGTACATAGGGAGTTAATAACAACAAAGGAAAATAGTGTAGTTGAAGCATTTTTATGTGTGCAAGTTTGCATCTGGGTCCACGTACTTATTTGTGTACCCACTTTTATAAGTAATGGAAACTAAATCACTAATTTAATATATATATATATATATAGGCATGAAAATTAATATAAAAAAATTCCTATGTACAGTAATCTTTATTTCACATCACTTCTAGGTAAGGAGTCCTCTGCAATATCCTCACTCAGCCTATGACAGTTGTGATTTATGAAGTGAAATGATGAATTTTTTATTGGAAGAAGTTGTTATCTATGCATAAGACTTTCTCTATAACTTCAGCAACTTTTACACGTGTATGCATTTTGATAATGCAATATCAAGGCTATTATCTCACCTGAGAACAAATGGAAAACAACCCTTGAAGAAATTAAGTGAGAATTGAATTTTTTATGTAAAACAAGCAATCAAAGAACTCTTATGATACCTAGTTATCTGTATAAGGGTGCTGTATCATGTCAGACACTTTAATTTTTTTTAGTGTAAAATTCCATATTCAATATAGTATCCAGCCATATCCAGGTAACATAGGAGAACTTTATGATTGAAAGTAGGAACAAATGGCATGATTTTCAAGTAGTAAATTAGGCTGTGTTTGGTTTGAAAGAAAAGGTAGGGAAAGGCAAGGAAAAATGTACCAGGTCTCCCTACCTTTTCTTTCAAACCTAACACAGCCTTAGAGTACAGTGTAGACATGAAAAAGCTACCCAAATGTTGTTTGAAGTCAGTCTTACAATTGGATTATCAGGAAGTCTAGGATCTGTTATCACAAAATTTTTTTCAATGCGTTCCAATGTCGTTGCTAAATCAATTCCTTGGCGTATATCCCTTTCTCTTTCAACACGGTCCCAGCTGTCAGAGTGTTTTACATCTTTGGTCATCAAAACCTCTGGCTCAATACTGGGCTGAGGTTTTTCTGCAGAACTTTGTGACCTGCCTCTGAACCTGTAAATAATGATCAACAATTTCTATAGAATCATCTAAAACACACTAGATGAACAACATAAATTGAGAAGTAAAAAGAAACAAAAATTAAAATAAAAAACAAAGGCATCAACTTAAATGATTGGCATTTTAAGTCATAAACTCTTAATCCATGGGGGGTACAGTTTTTTTTATGAATAATAAAGCATTCCATTAAAAAAATTAAAATGGATTTACAACTGATACAGCATTTAGTTTTCCCAAGAGGCGCGAGATGCAGCCTCAAAAAACAATATTGTCTGGAAGCCAAAAAGACAAACATCAAAAGGAAACTCCAACAAGAAACTCACCCCATCAAGGAAATTCGCCCAGATTTTCTAGATTTATTGCTGAGATCATGACCAGAACTTCTTCTGGACATATCATCCATTTGAGGAGTTTCTCTGCCAGGGGTACTAAAGTTTGACAGTTCTGCAGATTTTGGCAGAAAATAATCAAGGTTAAACTTGTCTTGCTCTTCAGTCTTTGCAGGGATTTCATCATCTGCAGATTGAATATGAGCTCGTGGATGCTTCACAGTTTGGACAACCTCTGTGATGGAACCCAAGGCCTGCTCCTTCTGGCGAGCTAGTTGAACATAAAGAATCAACATATTAAATTGCAAATAAGATACAAATATATATTAAGAAGCATGTTGAATATGCACACTTACCATCATAGCGGATTAGTGACTTTGGTAAGCCATTTGGCCGCATTGCTTTGTCACTCAGACCCTCAGTGTATTTACTAACTTCAACCTGCATCCTGCAAAAAGATAATACAATTAGCACCCTCAATGTACCATACTATCTCTAGTATCTAGATGAAGTACTTAAAAACATAATTAACTATCAGCAGGAAATCAAACTAAGAAAGACACCATCCTAGAAACCATATGGTATCAATACTATAAGTTCAACAAGGCAGTTTACTGATGACCAAATACTGTAATTATCCACGTCACCAATAAAAATTAGAACTCAATCATAGTTCAAACAAATGGACGATGAAGTAAATCATGCTTTCAGATTAAGAGGTTGAAGGATCACAGGAGGTTCAGAAACATGAACACTGATAAGCATAACTAAGATGTTTCTTAGCTTGAAGAGATAACCAATGTAGCTCGTTAGTATCCACCATCTACATGTAGACCAACCAAGCAAGCATGACATCAAAACTCAAGAAATAAACTGTCATTTCTTGATAAAGAATCTAATACCAGTAAAAAGTTGAACCAACCAGGTCATCGATCATGACAATACCAAACTCAAGAACCCATCAGACTCTTTTCAAATTGAACATAAGACAGATCAGAGGAAGTTCAAAAACTTGGAAATCATTCAACACCACTAGACCATTCCTTAAAGGGGCAAATCCAAGGAACCTTAAAAATGAGTCAACTTGGACCAGGCAAATAACTATAATATCAAAAGCATACAAATAAATAGGTTCCAACAAAAGCTCTTATGTATCAGAACCTTTACAATCTAAGAAATGCATGTGTAGCCATAGAAAAAGACTACAAGTTTCCATTATAAACCTCACGAATTCTGAGTGTTCCTTTAACTTCAATCGTGCTCTCAAGTTTCTTCTAGTCCCTGCAGATATCTGTCTGTGGAGAATAGAAACAAACTACCACTCAGCCTTCAAGCGTTACAACTTGTAAATGAAGGCTCAAGGGAACATTTTGAAGAACTATGTCTCTTATCCTCTATTGTCTTTTTTATTTACATTTCTAACCATAAAACTAGGTTTAACTTCAAAAGGGTCACCACAATTTCAGTTCAGACTACCCTCCTAAATCTTGAAAATTGATCGAATGGCATACCCTATGCTTTAAAAATGAAGAGCAGATATCATTCTCTTCCATAAGTGCAGAGTCCAGATCTGCTGGAACTTAAATAAGAAAGAAACTTATGTTAGAAAAAAATAATATCTTCGTATACTACTCTAAAACAAATGTAAAATGTGTATAAAATGTATTTAATGTGTGTTAAATGTCACACATTTTGATGGGTCGTAAAATCATCCTTAACAGAAGAGCTAATCATGCATAATTTAGCTACTTAGGGCATCGTAATCTATTGTTATTATTTGAAAATTTATAAAGTAAACATGATTATCCACCACAAAAGGTAAAGAGAAATAATGTAGTTCAGAATTTGAAGAGAAGGAAGATGGGAATATATTATAAATAATATCATCTAATGGGATATTTATTTTGAGAGTACAACTTAGCAGATTTTTGGGGATCAACCACTATACTAATATCCAATTTCCCTGAAGGACAAAAATATTGAGGGATAATAAATAATTCTACTAGTAAATCAAGATGGGCAAATTTGTCCTTGAGAAATCAGGACACAAATAATTTGCCTTTTGCTGCCTTTTGTAGTAGGTACTTACACATCTTAGAGCCCACCATCCCAATTTTCTATTCCAGCTGGTTAAAGTAAGCCTTCTAGTTAAAGTAGTCGAGAGTAGTCAAGACTCAAGAAGAAGAAGAAGAAGAAGAAGAAGAAGAAAATTACAAATGGGGCCTTGAATAGGCGCCCAAATACAAAAAGGATGAAAGGACATAAATGCCCTTACATTCTCAACACTTCTTTTTTTTATGACTCATCCTAAAACATCATCAGACAGCCATGGTTCTATTAACAAAAACTGTGGGCAATGCAACATCTATTACATTAATAGAGGTAAAGGTTGTCTCATATTTTCCCATAGATGGGGGAAAAAACATTATTTGCACAAAATTATTGCATTATTTTCTTACAACAAATACAGTGATTTTCTACATCACAATATAGCATCCAGCCTTGCAATCCATTTAAGAACAGAATAACTACTTACATATCAAGGAATATCCTGATAAGATTGACTTCATCAAAATTAGTTCTACATATTTGACAATTAATAACCAATAAAGTGCATGGTATTCAAATGTTAGAAAGAATCTGCAATGTACAGATTTACAGTATTATCAGTATCTAGCAATGTATCCATTTAAATGGTGAACTTTGTTAGTAGTGCACAATTACGTATAAACATACTAGTTCTACTAACTAGTAATCTTCCTAGATTTATTTATCTTTTTTTTATCGGCAACAAAGAAATCATTCATTCATTAAAACATTAAGAGAAAAGGAGTACAAGAAATTGTAAAAGATCACTCATTATTCATCAAAATGAAGTTGTGAAAAACTAGCAAACCCATTATATAGCAAGCCCCCCAACATTATACTACAATTGTGCCCAGTACAATTTGTTGTCTTTGAACCCCTTGCTTAGCTAAACCATCTGCCAAACTGTTATCTGATCTTCCAATCCACCTTATTTGAAAGTTCATGTCTTTTGACAGCCATTTGAAGTGTCTGAATTCATTTTGCATCCAATCACCCCCTCACATTTCTTCAACCATCCACTACTATCTTCAAATCCCCTTCAATGATCAAATTGCTAATCCCCATATCTTTAGCTTTCCCAACCCCAAAAATTGTAACAAAAAATTCTGCTCTTATGAATCACATTGCTCAATTGGGCCTGAGAACAAGGCACATATAATACCATCCTCATTGCCCACACTACTACCACCAAAGTTCAATTTCATCCAGCCTCTGACTAGTGGTGATCAAATCTCTAGGGTTCTTTGATTCCTAGAGGAAGAGTCAGCAATTGCCCCCAGTAGTCACTCAAGATTGAACAGACACTTAAAGGAGAAGGAAAAAAATAAGAAAAGAAGAGGGAGAAAAGAGAGAAAGAGAGAGAGAGATTTTGATAAAAGAGAGTTGGGTTGATGTGTTTAAACAGCCGCCCCCCTCTTAAATTTATATACATAGTATCATACTTGTAAAAGGACTGAATTTCTTACATGGCAAGATAAGATATGATAACAAGATAAGATAAGATAAAGCTGAAAAAAGACTAATCCTAATCTTATCCTAATCTTATAAAAGACTAATCCTAATCTTATCATAAAGAACTAATCCTAATCATAACTTATTGCTGACATACAAACAGTGGGGTCCACATTAGTGTTCTCTACACTCCCCCTCAAGTTGGGAGTAGATGTTTGTCATTCCCAACTTGTATAGATCTGCTTCTAACTTCTTCCTTGAAACCGCCTTGGTGAGAAGGTCTACCAGCTGCATGTCGGAGGTGATGTATGGAAGACATACTTCTTGAGATGTAACCCTTTCTCTAATAAAATGTCGATCCACTTCAATATGCTTAGTCCTGTCGTGTTGTACCGGATTATGGGCTATATTGATGGCAGCTTGATTATCACAGTACAACATCAAGGGTTTCTCATAAACAATACCTAACTCCTCAAATAATGATCTCAACCATAGGATCTCAAGTACACCATTTGTCATGGACCTATATTCAGCTTCAGCACTGGAATGAGAAACAACATTTTGTTTCTTACTCCTCCAAGAGACAAGGTTACCTCCTACAAAAGCACAATATCCAGAGTAGAACTTCGATCATCAACACACCCAGCCCAATCAGCATCTGTGAAAACTTCTATCTTCATGTGATCATTATTCTTGAATAAAATGCCTCTGCCTGGGCACCTCTTCATATATGCTAGTATCCTCTCAACTGCAAGGAGGTGAGTAGTCCTAGGAGAGTGCATATACTGACTAACCACACTGACTGCATAACTGATGTCGGGTCAAGTGAGACAAAGATAGAGAAGTTTTCCAACTAATCGTTGAAACATAGCTTTATCTTCAAGGGGTTCTCCACCCTCTGTGAAAGCTGAACCACTGTAGTCGAAGTAGCAGAAAAGAGGAGAAGAAGAAGAGATGCTGGAATGTCGAACTGTACTTGCAGTCGACCATGCCTTTATTTATATATAAGTGAAGTACAAAGTACAAGAAATTACTGGGATACCCCTGATTAGTGATGGGACACCC